CTCCTCCGCCTCCCGACTCAATCTGCTCTTTTTCCCCTTCGAGCCTATTCCCGCTCCCATAACGCTCCGGTCTTCCCCGAATACGTGCAAATGAGACACCTGGGGGAAGGGGAGTATGAAATCACAGGGGTATAGGGTGCGGAGAAAGGATTTGCAAGTTCTAACAGAACTTTAATGCAAATCTATCTCCGAATGGGGGACTGATACGGAAGGAGGAAGGGGGGGGGCAACCATTTCCCTCCATCGCTACCTGAAGGGGCCCGAGGCGATGACCTCTACAGTGCCCAATCCTTCCTGGAACCCTCAGCCCCCACATCGTTGCACAAGCACCACACTATACCCCTGCCTTACTAATAAAAGGCTCTTTCCTGTCTCAATCTCTTCCTATGCCTCCCTCTTGCCCTATTCCTAAAGCGAGTTGACCGTATCATACTACGTCCCCATTCAAAATACTGAGCTGCGCCTTAGCCAATCACAGCCATGCATCCATCCTGCAAGAACTAGCTCAGGCAGCTCAGCGAGCTCTTGCACGCCTCATTAAAGCTGATGACAAGCTACTGACGGCCCCCCACAACGAGAACAATCGAACCGAAACTTCTGACCTCCTAATCCAATCAGGACCTTGTTACAATGTATCCGTTTTGCTCGTAAACCTGTCAAAACCTTGTTACAATGTATCCAACTTTGACCGGGGCTACGGAACAGGTTGGGAACCTTCAGAACCTTCCGAAAATCATATAAAATCAACCATAGCTCCGAATTCCTTGCTTTCAGTGTCATTCAACCCAGCTCCCTTTGGACTCCATGACGACACCCTGACCTCCATAATCCCTCAAGCGGCAGGGCACGTACACAGGAACTTCTTAATCCTGTCAGATCGTCCTGCCTAACCCTTCCTCCGGGCAATACCAGGTGGCAGACGATGCATATCACTGTCCCTTTGTCCAGCCACCACCAGTACTCAAGAAATGTTTACTTATGTATATCCCTCACTCTGCACATTCCCCCTCCCTTGTCTCAAATGCTAATCAGTGTAACCCCACCTCTCTGTAAATATATTCATGACGTGTGTAAAATATTCATGATGTAATCCATGAAACCCAACCTTCCCATAATGTATTCATGACGTTTCGTGCACTGTATTCTGGGACTTGGAGGGAACTTTTAAAAGTTTATGTCGCCCCATTCTCGGGGTTCAATCTCGTCTTGAACCTGTTGCGCAATAAACTCGGATCTCCGCATCTTGCTCCTGTTTCCGGCTGAGCTTATTTTCTCCGCTAGGACCCGCGGACTCAGTCCGACGCACCGGGTGGCTTGGAATTCCACGCCCGGGATTTTTCCGTAACACTACAAAGGCCACAAGGGCTGTGGCCACAACATTCCATAGGGCTGCCGTGGTTTGTGGGGAGGGGAGCCCCTCACCCGAGGGGCTGCAGCTGCTTGCAGCACTGCAGGAGAAAATTAAATAAATAAATAAATAAATAATAACAACAACAACATATTATTTATACCCCCACCCATCTGGGTTTCCCCAGCCACTCTGGGCAGCTTTCAACAGAATATTAAAATACAATAGTCTATTAAACATTAAAAGCTCCCCTAAACAAGGCTGCCTTCAGATGTCTTTGAAATGTCAGATAGTTGTTTTATTTCCTTCACATCTGAAGGGAGGGCCTTCCACAGAGCGGGTGCCACCACTGAGAAGCCCTCTGCCTGGTTCCCTGTAACTTTGCTTCTCACAGTGAGGGAACCACCAGAAGGCCCTTGGAGCTGGACCTCAGTGTCCGGGCAGAACGATGGAGGTGGAGACGCTCCTTCAAGGATACTGAGCTGAGGCCGTTTAGGGCTTTAAAGGTCAGCACCAACACTTTGAATTGTTCAATCTTCAAACATTGAACTGAATCTTCAGGAGGCACCCTGAAGATTTGATCTTGTCCGTAATGCAGACACTGGGCAAGTTCCCCCAGAGAACTGGGGAGACCAAGAGTTAGAAAAGATCCCAAGGGACATCTAGTCCAACCCCCAGAAATCCAGGAATCGCAGCTATGGAATCCCTGACAGATGGTCCTCCAAACTCTGCTTTAAAACCTCCAATGAAATAGAATCATAGACTTGTACGGTTTCCAGGGAACTGCAGTGGACTAGATGATTGGGGGGATTTTCAGGGATTCTATGAAACCCTGGAAAGCTGCTGCCTGACAGTGTAGGCGACACTGGGTTAGATGGGCCAATGACCCCTCCACTCTTTCACCTCCCCCTGAAACCTCGGGTTCAAGAGCCTCAGGCGCACATAATTTCACAAATATTTATTGATCCGATTCTGTCACAGACATAAAATGGGAGCAGCTGGTGAGGCGAAGGGGACTGCAGGCCTGATTCTGCCTGTGTGTGTGTGTGTGTATTGTGTGTGTGTGTGGGGGGGTCTTCATTCCTTGCCCTTTGTATTTAGCTTCACCTCCCCCTCCCTTGTGCAAAAAGAGCCCCACCCGCCTCCCACAGCCCACCTCTGACAAATTCCCTCCCCCACCGAATTATGCCCTTTTAAAATGTGCTGAAGGATTATTGGGTTTCTCGTTTTTGTTTTTATTATGTATTTTGTGTTTTTATATTACCGTATTGGCCTGGATATAAGGCGCACCTTTAAAACTGGAGGAGGGAAAAGGGGAAAAAAGGAAGATCCACTCCCTCCCTCGCTACTTCTGGCTCCATACTGGGGGGGGGGGGCAGGGGAGGTGCGCTGTGTTGCCGGGTGGCCTTTCCCTTTCCTTCCTCTCTCCCTTCCTGGACCAACAGAAAAATTATATAACAAAATTTTAAAAATCCCTTCCAGTAGCACAAAATCTCATACCAATGACAAACTTAGTTGGTCTCTAAGGTGCTACTGGAAGGATTTTTATTATTTTTTTGTTTCGACTATGGCAGACCAACATGGCTACCTACCTGTAACTTAATATTAATATTGATAATAACAATAATAAACCACCCCCTTTCCCGTAATCCAGATCTTTGCCTGGATCTCCACAGCAATTATTAGAGGCCAGCCCATTTTTCTAAGGAGGCCCATCCCTACAGCCCAGCACCCTGTTCTCACAGTGGCTGACCAGATGACGGAGCCCACAAGTGTGGCAACAAAAGCCAAACGTGGGGTGGGGGTGGGAAGAGTGTGCAGAAAGTGCTTTGGAGAAGGGAGACCCCAGGAAGAGAGGGTCTTGAGCCAGAAGCAGCCCCTAAGGAGTGGGAGGGTGTTCCTTGACAGCAGGGGATGTGTAGTGATCAGGTGGGATTGCTATGAGGAATTAGAAAAAATATGGAGCAAGCCATTTGTGTCAGCAATGAAAGCCTTGCGTTGACTGGGTTTGAGCCATTTTGATGTGATTTTTCATCAATCCACGCCTCTGCATCCCTGTCCTATTTCTCTTGCTTGACAAGTCACATACACAGCCCAGCTGCCAGTTGCTTCCTCAGGCATCCTCAGTGCATAAAGATCGTAGGTTACCTTGATGTAGTTTAATCTTTAGATAGATCTTAAGGGCCAGGAAGAGAGTTCACAAGGAGATGGCAAATACTCTTTCCTTGCCATCCTTTCATCCTCTCCTGTTTATGACCTTCCTAAAAGCATTCCTCTTCGCTTCCTCTTTTATTTACTCTGAATTGCATATGCATGCTCAAGTAGGAAATTAGCTCTTTGTAGTTTTAACTTTAACTTTGTTCCCACGTGGGGTTTTTTGAAATGTTCAGCGGAAATCTGATTGGTTCTTACGAACACTGTGTAAAAAGTTCTTTTGTGAATAAAACGACCTGGGCCGGAGTGTGGACAGGAATTCTTATTATACGCACTCCTCCCAGAGTCTTGCTGGTTCAAGCCTCTGTGTGTATTCTTATTATCAGAGTCCAATCCTTCCTTTACTTTGGGAACACCTCAGGGATGCGAATGGAAGAGGCAGGGGTCTTTGGGACCACTGCAAATCCTGCCTCCAGCACACGTTATTGAGGAAAGGGGTGAGGTGGGGTGGGAACGCTGCATCCAGGTTTGTGAGCTGCCTGTGTGGGACCTGGGCTTCCCTGTGGAAGGTCAGCCTGGGGGGGGGGAGAGAAAATAAAGGGGTGCTCTCCTCGCCCTGCCGGGGTTAGCAGACGAAGTGGCTAAGGGACCTTGCAGGTTCCCCAAACAGCAACCCCCTCACCCCCCTGCATTAGGAGGCTGCAGCCTCACTGGTCTGCTGGCAGGTGGGGGGGCATTGTGGGAATAGAGGGCAGCTTCTCATCCCAAGGGTGGGGGGCTGCAGCCTTCCCAGAGCACCCCCACTATTGGGGTGCTTCTAAGGACACAGCCCCAAACAGGGCGGTCTGGGGAGCAGGCAGCATCTCTCCCTCAGCCCCGGCTGCATTGCCTGGGAGGGGGCTGTGGGGGGTCATTGCGTGCAGTTTCACCCCCCAGTATCCGGAGGGGGCCAGGGTGCGTGTTTATATTTGAGGCTCTGGTTTCCCAGGGCACAGTGCTTGAGCAGGGGAGGGGGCAATGGGGTCGTCCCACCCCCACTGATCTTGAAGGAGAACTGGGCAGAGGTGGGGCTGTTTATTCCAAGTCCGGGAAAGGAGAGGGGAGGGGAAATCCCAGGATATTATTATTATTATTTATTGAATTTATATACCACCCTATACCCTATATCTGCCCCATGCTCGTATTCAGGGGTAGGAGCAGCTGCTTCCAACTTAGAAAGAACAGCAAGTGTTGAAAACTCCCTTTTCTCAAACCTTTGGCTCCCAGGAGCAATCCTCAGTCTGAGGAAGGGCTTTTTAAAGGTGGGGGTTTCTTCTTAAGAACAATCTGTGCAGTGTTTCTCTTCCACGCTCAGTCTCAAAACCCCTTTAGCAGGTGAGCCACTTTCACCAACACATTTTACACATTCTGCAAAATGAAGACTGTGTGTTTCTGTCCTCTTCCCTTTTTCCTTTTTTGTCGTGTCTCTTAGATTATAAACCTGAAGGCAGAGAGAGACTGTATTGGTTTTTTGTTTGTTTACAGATTTGTGACCAGTTCTGAGAGCCTTTTGGACCAAAGAGCTGGGCTGGATTAAGCCCTTGGCTAATGGTGGGGGGGGGGGACCAGTACTCCACCCTCAACTCTGAACCCACACATATGAAATATTCCGAATAATTAAATGCCCTTCTTTCCCTGGAAGCCCTGCAGCCCCCCCCATCCCAATTCTGGGCAGCCCCTACTGGCCCTGTTCCACAGTCCCCATGGCGTCCACACTGACTCCACCCACAGGCACTGGGGGGGGGGAGCCATGCAGCCCTCAAAGGGGGAGCAGCAGTGCAGCCCCTTCCCCTTACAGAGACCCCTTCGCCCCGCTAATGCAAGGAGGCAGCCCCGACCCTGACACAGCCGCCCCCCCACTATGCGTCCCAATTAGCCCAGACCTTGCTGAAAACACATTAATTAAGTAGTACAAAACATAAGACCCCTCTGCCGTGCACCCAATTTCAGGTGCAAGGCTGCTTGTTCCCTGCTTGTTTTCCTCCAAAGGGGAGGGCGGTGAGGGGTTTAAAAGTGGGGGGGGGGAGGCAGCCTCACTGCAGGGGAAGGGGCTGCCTCTGGAGCCAGGAGGGTGTCACACACACACAGTGGCATCTCATGGCGGATGAAAAGAGCAGAGCCGGATGAGCAGGGGGTGAGGCTGGCCTGGGAAACTGGCTCCTCCACCCTCCCTAGAGCCATGGGGGACACCCAGTTCCAAGGCCAGCTGGGCACCAGCCCAGCCAATGAGGGCGCAAGCAACTTGATGGGGAGGCAGGGAGGTTCAAGGGGCGAGGACGAGAAGGAGGGTGGTCATCAGAGGAGGTTCCTTCACTCCCGACAGAACCATCTGTCACTTCATCAGGGGTGGCAAGGAGGAAGAAGAGGTCCACCACATCTCCTCCCCTTCCAGCAGTTTCCTGAAAAAGAAAGGGGGGGCAAAGGGGTTTACTACACCTCAGCCTCGGACAAGGAGCTCAGCCACAGAACACAAGCTTTGAATGCAAAGGATTCTAGATTGTATACAGAGTAGGCCAGAGCTTATTTTGGGGTTCAGGGACAGGTGAACTCCAGTCTCTTATTAAGTGCACCATTTGAGGCTGTTTTAAACTTTGGCGCACAGAAGGAAGGAGACGGGAACCAGATTCAGCCTTCTTGGAACAATTTGACTGCCCTATTAGATATTTCCTATTCTAATTAATTCAAGAGGGTCCTGGAAGCTTCTCTGTGTGAAAGAAACAAGCAGAAGGTTCATGATGTTTGGGTTATCGCTTCAGAGAAGCTGAGTACAGAAGCTGGCTTAAACTGGTCCCGTTATCTTTTTCTGTCAAGGTCATGCTGACCATAATAGTAAGGCCAGAAAACCGGGGTTTCACTTGCTCTTTCTGTCTCTCTTGTTCTGTGTGGTGTTCTGTATATAGTATGCTTAGTGTTAAGGTTTAGTCTTCTTATAAGTTATTGTAAGTTAAGTTTGCCGCAACTGGATTTCTTATGGACAGTGCCAATCCTGAATGTATATGGATTTGTGACCACTGTGCTCATTTACTAGCAGTAAAGGTCTGCTGGATGAAATATTCATTGCCTCTGGTCTATTTTTTGGGAATCCTGCAACGTGTTTAAGTTTTTGCTCTGATAACTCTACGTTGGAGTTCTGCTCTGGATCAATATTGAGTAGAACACATGACACTTTCCCCAGAGAGCATATTTTACTGCCACTCATACACATGTGGGCAAAGGCATGGGACACCCAGGGAGTCAAGGAGCACCCAGCCCTGCAGCCTCAAGCACGGAGGTGCCTGATGGGGGCAGGAGGGGGTGGGACTCCTGCAACCCTTACCTGTAGGCAGCGATCTCTATGTCCAGGGCCATCTTGACGTTCAGCAGCTCCTGGTATTCACGCATGTAGCGAGCCATTTCCTCCTTGGCTTCCGAGATCTCCTGCTCCAGTTCTGCCACTCTCTCCTGGGGGTGGGGTCAAGGGAAAAGGGGAGACTGTAGGCTGGAACTGAGGAGAGCCACTCCCTGAGCATTACCCATCTCTCCCTCTCTCACACACACAGCCCTGAACTACAGCTGGAAGCAGGAGTTTCTCTTTTCCCGTTCCTGCAAGACTGCCAGGACCACCTTCTCCAGAGAGATCACCACTGTTGCAGGAATTTATGTATAGGTGGGGGGGGTTTGCCCCTCCAGCAGATATCACGCACATGCAGCCCACTACCAAAATCAGCACAATCCCTTTTGTGACTTTTGTAATTTGTCCCCACAAAACACTTCATCACAGTTTTTTCCTATCTATTCAAAGGGCCTCTGCTGCACGATACCAAATGTAAGAATTCATTGATCAATGTATCTCTGTACTGGCTCACTGGAAAAACTTCAGAAATTCATCTAGACATGTGAGCTCAGCTCCTCAGCAGCCCCTCTGCCTGAGGGATCATCCCTGGCATCCTGATACCTGAGTGCCAGACAGGTAGCCCTTCCAGAAATAACAAACCCAGATGGAGACAGAAGGGCATGATTAACTTGGCTGGGAAACAGGGAAATGTAAATATCTCTTTTGTTCCACTTGATGGGTGTTTGGTGGAGGGCAAGGGGAACCATGGGTCCAGGATGCTCAGATTCCTGCCACCAGACCTCCCCTTTCATGATGTAACCATGATGTATGAGTGATGTAGTTTGGGGGGGGGGTGTAACATGGGGATTACAGCAGCTAATAAAAGTTTGGGGACTCTTTTGTTCAGGGTTTCCATCTTGTTCCACCTTTTGGCAGGTGGGAGTCCTGTTGCGACAGTCTTCAATAGAGACCAAGCCTACTGGCTGTTGTTTTGCTCTGGTCTTCCTGGCTGGTGTCCTTGTTTCTTGTCCAAGGGAGCCCTCAGATTTCTCCCTTAACACCACCAGCCCACCACCCTGCAGTCCCTAAGAACGTAGCTGAAGAAGGAAGGGTGGGAGGGGAGACGCCGGCCTCTTGCACTCCCATAAACACAGAATCGTAGAGCTAGAAGGGACCCCCAGGGTCATCTAATTCCCTTGTCTCCAGGATATGTGGGAGACCTCCCAGCCTCATTTCTCCCCTTGACCTCATTTCCTCCCTTGACCTCCCCCCACCACACACAACCACCTGCCCTGACCTTCTGATTTCTGCCTGACCTTCTGATTTCTGCCTCTTTGCCTGCTCAGCCACTCTTCTTTCCTCCAAGTCCTGTGGGAGATTTTAATTTCAGCCAAACTAGCCTCTCATTTCTCACCTTGGCTGGGCATTTCACGCCAGGCAATTTAAATGTTAAATGAAGGTTCAGAAGCCCAGGCAGCATTGCAGGAAAGGGGTGGGGGGCATTCAAAGCCAGCCAGTTCCTAACCTAATAGCCACTTAATCTGCTACACATGGGAGGTTTAACCTGGCAGGCCTTCATCATTAAATCAATCTGCCTATTAATAATAGAGGAGCTGTAAGTGGTTTCGGGGCCATCCTGCCAGGGCACCTCTGCCTTCCCGCCCTGGACAAGCCAGTCCACAGAGGCAGTGCCATTCCCATGCCCTCCTGTCACTCAAGGGCAGGAGCAGGACCTATAATGAAGAAGAAGCGAGTGGAGGCAGGAGAAGGACCCCCGCACCTTCACCAAACTCTGAGACCTGGAGAAAGAAGAACGCTAAAAGAAACTGGGCAAGGGCCCAAGAACCGCCACAGACCCTGAACAGGAGTCTGGCATAAGGAACCCCCTCCCCACCCATGAATCTGATGTGCAGCAAGGGAGACAGAGGGACAGAAGAGGGTGGGGGCAGAGAAGAGAAGCTGCCTGGAAGACAAGAGCATCTTCAAGGGCTTCTGGAAGGAGGACCTGGGAGCCATCTTGGACTGACTGTTCAAACCTTTCCTCCGAGACGTTCATGTCATCGACAGCTATAAAATGCCCCAAAGAATTGTGCTGGCTGGAGATTTTGGCGGAGGAATTTGGAGGAGGCAGCAGAAGGGGAGTCCCTTCTAGAGTTGCCAACATGGCACCCTCTAGATGCTACTAGGACTCCATCTCCCAGCATCCCAAGCGTCAGACATATGGAGCCCCCCCTTGACTCCCCCTGCCAGATGAGCAGGGTTCCCAGCCCTTCCGGCGGAGATGGGGGTCAAGTCGCCGCTTTCTCTTCCCCTGGAAGGACCCCGGGGCAGGCGCCGAGAGCAGGAAGAGCGCCAGCCGGAGCCCCCGCCGCAGCGGGAGAGGCGCATCGAGACCCGCGTGCCTGTAGACCGAGAGCGGCGGCCCCCTAACCCTCCCGGCCTTACCTGGCAGCGGGCCACCTCGGCTCCCTGCTGGCCCTCCAGGCTCTCCAGCTGCTTGTGGAGGGAGTCGATGGCGCCGCGCAAGGTCTCGATCTCCGCCGAGCGGGTCTGCAGCAGTCGCCGGTACTCGACGGTCTCCTGGCGGATGCTGCGCACGGCCTCCTGGTTGCGGCTGGCCAGCTCGGCCACGGAGGCGAACTTGGAGCGGTACCACTCCTCCGCCGCCTGCATGTTCTTCGCCGCCAGGCTCTCGTACTGGGAGCGGATGTCCCGCAGCGCGGCGGAGATGTCGGGCCGAGCAGCCGCCCCCGCCGCCCCCGGGGCGCCCTCCACCGCCACCCGGGTGGCCGCGGCCAGCTCGGCTTGGGCCACCAGCTCGGCCCGCTCCTCCTCCAGGAGCTTTTGCAGGAAGGCCAGCTCGGCTCGCAGGGAGCCGGCCGCCCCGTCGGCGTCGCAGGTGGCCAGCGCGGCCCGGGCGGCCTCTTCGCGCACGCGGCTCAGCGTCTCCTCGGCGTCCAGGCGCCGGCGCGCCTCCTGGGCGCAGCGCTCGCGGAGCTGGCCGCAGGTGAGGCGCAGGCGGTCGCGCTCTGCCTCCAGGCGCGCCTTGTCGCCGGCCTCGGCGTCCAGCAGGGCCCGCAGGGCGCGCGCTTCTTGCTGGTAGAGCTGCGGCAGCCGCGCCGGGGTCCGCTGCTGCCGCCGCAGCGCCTCCAGCTCCAGCAGCAGCGCCCGGTTCCGGTGCTCCAGGTCCCGCACCCGCTCGATGTAGGTGGCGAAGCGGTCGTTGAGGTCCACCAGCTGCTCCTTCTCCTGGGCGCGCAGCCCCAGCAGCTCCGCGTTCAGGTTGCTCACCTGCGCCAGGTCCAGGCGCTCCAGGGGGTCAGTCAAGGGGCCGAGCGCGGAGGCCGAGAGGCGAGCCGAGCGCCGCGGCACCGGCGAGCAGAAGCTGACTCGGACGGAGCGCGCCGCCCCACCGCCGCCACCGCGGTAATCCTCCCACGGCTTGCGCCAACCAAAGCCCTCGGAGTCCATCGTGGCGCCCGGAGGGACAGAGGACGCGGAACTGCCCTCCAAGCGCGGCGATCGGAGCCTCGCGGTGTCCCTGCCGCGCTACCCACTAGCCCTCCCGGCCCAGCTCTGCGCCAACTGCGAACTGCGGCAGAACGGGCCGCCTTTATATAGGGGCAGAGGCAGCCTGGGCAGCCAATCAGGGCGCGCTGCAGCAGGGGCAGGAGAATTCGCTGGTTCTCGGAGCAAAGGCGCTGGAAATGGGAGCGGGAGGGAGCCGGGAATCTTTTAGGATCCCCATCTCGGATAGGACCCCTGCCGACCGCGGGTGGGCACGTGTTTCTGCCACCCACCCATCCTCAGGGAACTATCAAGCGCGTGAGGAAAGCGGAGGTTCCCTCTCCTGCGAGCGCCGCTGTCACATCCACGCGGCTTCTCTCAGCGCCTGAGAGGGGCTGCGGGCAGGGGGAGCCAAGAAGACCACCTCCTCCAGGGCCGCCAGCAGAGGGCGGTGGACCCGCGGCAGTCAGTGCAGGGTGGGATGCGAGGGGCCCTTAGGTGTCGCTCTCGAGCCGCGGAAGGAGCCTGCCTGCCTACTTCAGCCGCCCTCGGCCCCTGGTCAGTTCTCCTGACCCGCCCCCTCATCCCCTGGACAATGCAATGGCCCGCCTTGGGGCGAAGCCGGCAGCCGAGGCCTGCGGGAAACCTCGCTGGGAAGCCGGGCTGGGAAGAGAGAAGGGGCAGCCACGCGCTGGGTGCGGGGACTGGGCCCTCATCCTTGACCCACGTCCAATGATAAAAGTGTAACCGCCCAGAGACCTCTGGGTATAGGGCGGCATATAATTCTATTATTATTATTATTATTATTATTATTATTATTATTAAGCACAACAAAAGAAGAAGAGGAAGAGCCCCAGAGTTGGATCTGCTCCCTCATCCTGTTCTCGCAGCGGCCAATGCAAAGCCCCAGTAGGAAGCCCGACAGCAGGGCCGGAGCTGGACAGCAGCCCTCTCGCTCACTTGCGGGTCGCGGCAGCTGGTCTTCCTACAAGCCAGAGGTGCCCCGGCTGTGGAGATAAGACACAGACATGAGTGGCAGCCTTTTCCGTGAGTGGGCGGGCTGGAGTGTGTGTCTTTCGCTTCTTCAGCTGGTGGGCAATAAGGGGCAGAGACGCTTAACAAGGGGGTCGCTGAAATGCCGCAGTTGACCTAGAGACCCCCACAAACGAGGGGAACCGGGATCCAATGAGCTCCTGCCCTACTGCTCTTTGGGGGGGGGTTGGACCCGCGCCTGTTTGGGCTTGAGATTCCTGGCCCCTTGGGCCCTACCTCTGGGGTCTTCTTCTCCCGCGGCCCCTCACTGCCCCTCGGTTCTGCCTCTGAAGGCCGCTGCAGCAAGGAGGAAGGCGAGGCCGCTTCCCTCGGGCTCGGCGGAGCCTCCAGCACCATGGACAGGTCCCGCCGCGCCTGCTCGGCTTGGTCTGAGCCAGAGCCACGAGTCGGCCAAGGACAAAAACCTCACCGACATGGCGAGGGCGGCCTACGAGGAGTAGTCCAGCCCCAGTGCTGGGGCCAGTTTGCCCGACTCAATTCATCGCAGCTTGACCTCCAGCGACCACTCTGGGTGGGAGGGTGGGAGTTCTCCGCTAGGGGGCCCTCTCTGCAGGTTTCAGAAGGATGGTGACAAGGTGAAAGGTGTGCGGAGAGGGCGACCAGGGCGACAAAGGGTCTGGAAACCAAGCCTGATGAGGAAAGGTTGAGGGAGTTGGGTATACAGTGGTACCTCGGGTTACAGACGCTTCGGGTTACAGACTCCTCTAACCCAGAAATAGTACCTCGGGTTAAGAACTTTGCTTCAGGATGAGAACAGAAATCGCACAGCGATGGCGCAGCAGCAGCAGCAGGAGGCCCCATTAGCTAAAGTGGTGCTTCAGGTTAAGAACAGTTTCAGGTTAAGAACAGTCCTCCGGAACGAATTAAGTACTTAACCCGAGGTACCACTGTATTTAGCCTAGAAAAGAGCAGAACTGCCCTCCTCCACAGTCACTTAAGGACACACCGTTCACACTCCTGGAAGACGATCTTACTCGGCTACGGGTAATCTCCAAAGAAGAAGGAGGTTAGAGAAGGGCGGAGGGAGAGGTGATGCGATGGGCCAAATCCCTAAGGGGTAGAAGAGGGAGCCAGCTTGCTTTCTGCTGCTCCAGGGGGAGGATCCGAACCAACCGATTCAAATGGCAAAAAAGGAGATTCCGACTAACCAATGGGATGAACTTTCTGCCAGTAAGAGCTGTTCAGCAGTGGAACAGACTCCCAGGAGATGTGGCGCCTGCCTTGGAGGTTTTTAAGCAGAGGTTAGATGGACGGAGATTTACGATCCTTGCATTGCAAGGGGTTGAACTAAATGACCCTTGGGTGTCCCTTCTAACTCTACAATTCTGTGATTCTATGAAGCCCAATGCTCCGGGCAGGTGGTTCAGGGAGGGGAACACAATGCGCTTGCAACAACCTTTCCGCCGCCGAGGAACAGCTGGATTGGATCCCGGAGAGATACTCTGACACTTTATTGTGGAAAGAACCAGTCACTATAAATTAGCGGCGGGGCGGGGGGAGTGGGGCAGAGGAGGGGAAAAGGCTTTTCGGCCAGTCCGTGGCGCCCTTCCGCGCCCCTGAGCTTGCGGTCCGTCTCTCCGGCGCTGGGGTCACACCAGGGCCGCCGCCCCGGAGACGGAGGTGACCTTGTGCTCCTCGGCCCAGGGCTGCAGGTTCTGCAGGGCGAAGAGCGAGGAGTTGTGCAGGCAGAGCGGGTCCTGCTGCAGCGGCTGCCCCAGGCTCTTCTGGAAGGCCTCTTGCTGGAGGTGCAGCATCAGCCGGTTGGCCTGCTGGCGCTCCGCCTCGCGCTCCTCGGCCGTCTGCCGCCTGGGGGGTCGGGGGAGAGGAAGCGGGTGGGTGTTAGAGGCAAGGACGGGCGAGCGAGGGGGCGCCCTGGCTAGAACAAATGGAGGAGGGGAGGGCCTCTGGGCAAACACCGCGGGGCAGAGCCTCCCTTTCTGAACAAACAGCACTGGCAGGTGGGGAGGGGTCGTGTCTCTGGCAACCTCCCACCTGGGGTCCCCTCCCACCTGCCTGGGTCTCTCTACATCCCCCCTCCCACACTCTTGGCGTTTACAGTGCCCGGAGCGCCTCACCTACATTTCTCGCTCATCCGCACAACAACCCTCAGAGGTGGGCCGGTATTATTATCATCACGACCATTTTGCAAACAGGGGGGGGGGCTCCCCGCTCTTCTGAACACCCTCCCCCATCACGGGGTTCAGCTGGGATCTGCGTGGCTTGCAGCCTTTAAAGTTCTCATTAATTTATGGCCAGATAACCATCTTGTATTGTTGAGTATTTTACATTTTTTCTGGTTTTAAATTGTTTTTATGGGCTTTGGGGGGGGTAGGCTACTGTAAAAAGCTACTGATAAATGAAAATCATCATCATCATCACAACAGTCACGACGGGCAGCGACCCTGTCTCCTCGCCTCGTACCTCCACTTGGTGCGGCGGTTCTGGAACCAGGTCTTGACTTGGGCGTCGGTCATCTTGAGCGCTTTGGCCAAAGCGGCTCGCTCGGCGGACGCCAGGTACTTCTGCCGGTGGAAGCGCTTCTCCAGCTCGCAGATCTGCGCCCGGGAGAAGGAGGTGCGCGGCTTCTTGCGCTTGGGCGGAGTGCGGTTCTGGTAGGGGTGGCCGATGCGCCGGGCGACGGAGAAAGGCGGCAGGGCGGCTGCGGGCAGAGCAAAAGAGGACGGGCCTGGTCATAGAATTATAAAACTGGAAGGGGAGCCCTAAAGTTCATCTAGTCCAACCACCTGCCATGGTGGAGAAATCTCCCTCCGGGGACGCCCTTCCCGGGATCACCGACCGAAGGGATCGCATCCCCCACTCAGACCCCTGACGTTCCTGCGGCTCAGCTGGGAGAAGAGTCTCACCAATCCGTCTCGCTTATTTCCCGGGTCGGAGACGTTTGGACGACCTCTGGGGACCCCATCCCGCCAGGGGGAGCTGCAGGGACCCCTCCCATCTCAGTCTGAACTCTGGAGAGCCAGGCTGCCTTCGCCCCCACCCGCCCAGAATGCCGGCGGCAGGAGAGAAGGGCGCAGCGCAAGGTGGGGGCGTCCTCAACCTGAATCCCGAGGAAGGAGTCGAGGTGGGAGGGAGTCCCGGGGGTGAACGGGCAGATCCTGGCCGCGCCCGCCCCGCTCCTCTCCTGTCCCTTTTCCTGGCAAGGCAGGAGGGCAGGGAGGGGGCAGCCGCTTTCGCTCCCGCTGTATCTTCACAGCAATGCGAGCCGGGACCAAAGCTCCCCCCCCGCTCCCCCCCGCCTCCCCCTGCTCCCCACTCACAGAGAACGGTCGGAAGTCGCAAGAGGTGGAGCTGGAAGCGAAACTCTTTTGAAGGCGGTTGGCCTAGTAGATGATCCTTGAGTTCCCTTCTAAATCTGTAATTCTATGAAAGTCTCCGCCAACTGGGAGGCGAAGAGGTCTCCCAGTGAGTAGCGGGGGAGGCAGAGGCACTGCAGAGCGAGGCGGAGATTTACGGGAAGGGCCCACCGGCAGCCTTGCCATACAAGCCCCTCTGCAGCCTTCCTCCCCGCCTGGCGAAAGTTATTGCGGAAACCTGAAGATCGCGCTCGTATTCTCCTGCCCCTTCCGAGGAATTCAGGTGTTAAAAAGGTTTGGGGCAGGAGAGACCCAGAATGCGGGGAGCCCTCAGGGATCGGCGCCTTCCTTTTGGGGCTGAGCCCCAGGAAGTCTTGGCTCAGATCCAGGCACTTCTGGGCAGGGGTGCCAACTTGAATAAAATAGGAGGGGGGGTTGAGGTAAGCCCCGCCCTGAATAACTGATCACATGACGTGGTGCACGCACACTATTTTAATGGCAATGCCTACCAACTTTGGGGGGCGCTCCCCTCAAATATTTTATTGGGGGGCCGAAGACCCCGAAAACCCCTGGGAGTTGGCTCCTACGCTTCTGAGGAAAGCTGAGCAGGTGAGACTCCGCGCGCTGGAGCCCCGGGCTCCCTCTGGTAGATCTACTCTTGCCACAGGTCTGCGGGAGGGCCCTGCCATCGTGTGAGGCTGTACTCACCTGCGATCCGGTCCTTGGTCA